GCAAGCATTAGTAGTGAATCACATTGCACCCGTTAGTCGCCAGAAGTGTCTCTCGGACTCACCCAGGGTCCCATTGATTCCCTGTGCTCGCGCCTTCATCACTTTGCCGAACTCTCCCTCGCCGAGTGTCTGCTCTATGACAAGGCGGTTGCGCGGAAACTCCCATTTGCTGTCGATCTGGCGGGGGAGGAAGGACTTTGTCAGATGGTGAGTGGGGAGGAGTAAGTGATGGGGAGTGAGGATGAATAGATGATGGTGAGTGAGGAGGAGTAAGTGATGGTGAGTGCAGAAGAGTAAATATACGCACACACACACACACACACACACACACACACACACACACACACACACACACACACACACACATACACACACACACACATGCACACATGTGTGTATATGTGTGTGTGTGTGTGTGTGTGTGTGTGTATCTATTTATCTATTTTTACATATTGCGTGTGTCTGTGCACATGCAATACATGTTTTCCTTTTGAAATCAAAATTCAAAATCAATAGTGTATATCCCAGAATCTGCTCCGTCACCTGTGAAACCAACTTTTGTGAAATTATAGGAAAATTGAACTTCATCACCAGGGCCCTCAAGGCACTTATATTCGATGCAAGTTTAGCCAATTTTGAGCATTTCCCAAATTTTCAAACTACGTTCCGATAGATTTTGTACTGTTTAACCACACATTAACATCAGAATCGCAAATGTGGCTTTCATCAGGACAGTAATTATTAGATTGCCCATTATCAACTTCTGTCTTTATCTTGTCATGTTTGTCCTTAGTAGCAAACTTCAACACTTAACAGTTGTAAACTACATTAGGAAAACACTCATAGAAACATGAAAAATCCAAAACAATTTGATGGAGCTCCTACTAGATGGAGATAAAGGCTATTTCCTCCTGTGTAATCAAGGCAGTTCGTTGTTTTAGCAATGATATCATTAATCTCTAATTTCTATTCGTGATTCACATACAGGGGTGTTGTCAAGATCTCATTGATTGACATTATTCTTATCTAGAGGCCCAAGTCTTACCCTAATGACAAATGAAAGCGATCTCGACAAGCACACTAACACACACGCACAAAGAAAAAAAACGTAAAAGTACTCACAGCCAAGTTGATGGGCGTAACGAAGTTATGCTCCGGCCTCGGGCTATTGCGTAGGCCTATCCCATGCACAAGGGAGTCATGGGTTTCGTCCCTTGGATTGTAAGGCAACGATGAAGACCTGTCGTCGCTCGGGAACGTTCCCAGGGAGATCCCACCGTGCTTTTGCTTTCTGCCACAGCCTGCACGACGTCTGGGGGAGGGAGAGGCAAATGTTTTTAGGGTGGCAGCAGGGAGGGTCGGAGATAGAGGGAGGGAAGATAAATGAGAAAGAAGGGGGAGGGAAGGAGAGAGAGAGAGAGAGAGAGAGAGAGAGAGAGAGAGAGAGAGAGAGAGAGAGAGAAAGAGAAAGAGAGAGAGAGACAGACAGACAGACAGACAGACAGATAGACATACAGAGAGACAGACAAACTGAGACAGAGATTTACTGTGAAGGTAAAACACGGAAAGGGGAAACACAAGCGTTGCAAAGCTAACGACCAGTATACAAACGAGAAGAGGGTAGTTGTTGTGAAATGGCAGTGCAAAAGAGAAAGGAAACACCTGACAGAGACTTGTACGTTAGCTGGACTGACTTTGGAGAACAAACTAGAGACTCGAATAGACAGGAAGGGATGAAACACAGACTAGATTTTCAGTTCATCGGATAATTTGTGAAAGACAAACTAGATAAGAATAATACATATTTAATATTCATTGTATGAAGTACGTTAGATTTTTGGGTTTGAATATTAGTAACAGTATTATTGTGGATTAAGAATAATAGATATCTACATGATAAGAACGAGGAAAAAAAAAAACACGGAAAACAGATGAAACAAAAATAATGAACAAAACTTAAAGATCATGAAATGTAATAATATTCGTATCAATATTGAGAGGAAGGAAAGAAGGAAAACAAAGTAAATAACTTCTGCAATATGATTATAGTTATTATATTGATAACAATCAAAGTTTTGATAATGGTAATAATTATAATAAGAGGAAGAACATAAGCAATAATGATAATGATGAAATATTCATTATAATAATGATATTGATAATAATGTCAATAATAATGATAATGATAATGGTAATAATAATATTAATAACAACAATAATAGTAATAATAATAATAATAATCACCATCATCATCCTCATTTTCATCATGATAATAATAATAATCATGATATTAACATTAATAATGACAATAATAATAGCCAATAACAACAACAATAATACCGACAAGGATGATAATGGTAAGAATGATACCACGTCCAACAAAAATGACAAAACAGCGCCACAAAACGAGTAAGAATAAAGTCATTAATGATTACAATAACACAGTCATGTTTTCATTACCTGCAGAGGAAGGCACAGGCGAGTATGAAAACAAAGAAGG